GGAAATTCTACCGGCATAAAAAGGTCCATCGTTTCCCAATTGCAAGAGATACTACACCAAAAAATAAGTTAGTGTTTTTGTTCAAAACAGCCATTGACATGATGACATCTGATACACATAAGATTGCTATACATGTTGACAAATGCCTTCCGGAGAACATGTGTGAAGGTTCAATGATCCAACTATAGACGTAGTTACAATCATTATAGTCGTAGATCAATTCCAACTGAGTGACACTGCTATTCATCGGAGAAACGATCATCTGATAAAAGTTACCGAAATTCATAGATGCTACGATGTTCTGCAATATCCAATCACTTTTTGGGATGGTGTTGATGGATATCAGTTCAACTTCAAAAAGATAAATCCAGTCAGTGGCGAAGACATACATAAGAAATGCAGCGTAATGAACTGTTATTCACACCGATTAATGATTCGAGAGGATGAAGACAATCATATTTTGAAATGTCATCAGTTGTTTCAACAATACATAACAAACCAACTTTTCAATAATGTTACTTATAGCATGTTTCAAAAATCACAGTGCAATTGATCCAAATGTAACACGAGTTCATTTAGGAAAAGCTGATGAAACTCGTAGTAAAAATTATCGTTCCACCCATCGAAACTTAGCACTCCTGTCGGAAAATATACCAAGTTAGTTATAACTGCCCAACCGATAGGTTCCAGATAACTTGTGATCAAGAAAAACTAAAAGTTGGATGCTTATAGACGACAGGGGAGCTTAGTTTAAGAAGATATATGTACTAGGTGAATAGTAACTACGGTGATAATTCCCCCAAAGCACACTGGCCAAGTACACCTTTCTGCTTAACCAAAGACAAAGCAAGAGAATCCCTGCCTTATTCTTTGATCCCGGACACATTTAGTGAATAGAAATCAGCAGTCATGTGCGATGTAGGACACCGTTGAAACTACAAGTTCAGTGAATGCTAAACTCTTCAGAACTCCCATTGAAAGGCTCGATATAGCAACTCACAACAAAGAGTCAGTCGGTAATACCAAGTAGAGCAGGTAATGAACCTCTCTAGTTTTATGACGGAAAATGTTATGCTGAATATGAAAGTAACAAAGGAGGGAAATAAAGTCCTGGAGGGAAGCCGTTTAATAGCATCGACACGGAGGAAGTATTCAACTGAAAGTGTGGTTTATAACTGGTGCATACTAAGCTTGCTATCTATTACAAGTGCAACTACTTATTCTATCACAATGATAAACTGTTTGTTATGCCAATCGCAGCAAAGGAACAGTCACCCACTTTCTGAGCAGCGTAGTTTGAACAACATTCGGGGACGATCAAAGGGTTGCAAAATCAGTGCACCTGCGTGCAGTACTAGTGGGGGTTCCGATAATTATTCAATATTGTAAACAATGCTGACACTGCTTCACCCAAGCTGTTTACAAGTCAGATAGCCTATCTGTTGTAGTACTGTTTCCTTAACACGGAACCTGCTAGGCTACGACCGTCTGACGGTTCAGTCCCGCACCAGCCAACCAACGGGATACAGAAAAAGGGCCAAGACTCGGTAACAGGGAGTATATTCTACACGACAGACCGCTCGTATTTATTAGGTAACGAAACGTACTATTTTAGGAAGCTAGCTATGCGACTGGCTCTCAGCCAATGTCAGTGATTTTTGGTTCCACGGTTTTTTCCATATTTGGCCGAATGCACTGCCTCCTTTGGCGCTGACTTGTATTTGCTAGCCAAAACCTCTCGCCTGAACTGGCTTGTATTCGATGGCCAAACAACTCGTGCCTGCTTTCCGAACAGTTTGACTTTGTACCGTGCTCGTGCTTTCACATGTAGCAGACAGCTCACGTACTCCACAGGAAACCCACACACGTTTGCGATCTCGTATTCGGACATTGGCTGGGCCCGCCTCTCTAGCACTATCATCCCTATGCAGTGAGAGGCCAGCCACTCTGCCTTGCAATGGGAGGAACATGTATGAGAACGGAGTATATGCTGCACTATATCCTAGTGGTAGAAGCTGCTGGCCAGTTGCAAATCTGATAACGGCCGTGGTTTCGATCCCCCGCAATCTGACCGAAGGTATGCGCCCAAAGACGAGCCCCAAAGGAAAAACCCATCACCTGGTGCGTTTCTGAGCTCAGATTAAACTATATAGCTTGCGAAGGCTGATATGAATCGGCAATATTTCACTACAAGTCCTCCTACTCATAAGTAATTGCCACACTGAACGGGGTCAACCGGGTCAGCTCGATGCTTAGTTGCTTGACGCTTAGAAGCACTGCCAACACACAGTAGACAATCGCAACGTGTCCGTATATCATTACTGCCACCCATTTTCACTACTCGTCGGGAAGCAAGAGATCAGTGTGCAAGAAGAAATCAATGTAGTCGTACACTACCAATGTTCTGATCAAACTGAACGCACAGGGTTTAACCCTAGTTGTTGACGGACATTAACCTCACCAATAACCTGCTAACATTCCCACCATGCCCTCGTAAACCGTCCACTACACACAACCGTGCCCATTCCAGCATTAGCCCGATCAGGATATGACGCGGATTGCTCACCGCCATTTCCTAAAGAAGTTGCAGATATCTTACGTCACCTGAAGACGAAGATAGCTTCTGGAGCGGACGGGATTCCAGCCGAAACCTACAGGTATTGTCTACCAGCCCTCCTTGGCCATATGCATGAGCTCTTCTGCTTGATATGTGAGACCGAAGTCTGCCTTTCTTCGTGGAGAAACTCAATATCACTGCAAGTTCCCAAGTAAGGTGACTGAACTATGTGCAGTAATTCTCGCGGGGTTAGCCTAATCGATGTGGCTGTCAAAACCTTCGCACGAATCTTGCTTTCTAGCTTTGCCAATGAGAGCAATCTGCGAACTCGCCGTAACCAAGGTTGCTTTTGTCCAGGCAGAGGCTGCACTGACCAAATCTTCACTCTACTTAGGGTACTTGAACATAGTTACCAGTTCCAGCAGTCCGTTTGTTTGCTGGTTTGATTTTTGAGCTGCCTTTGACTCAGTTAATCGTGAAGCACTCTGAAGAATCGTACTTGCCGATGGCGCACCGATTAAACTAGTTAACTTGATGAGACCATGCCACCGTTGCACGGGTCTATGGAGAGGAAACAAAAGATTTCGACAGCAAAACTGGAGTCCGAGACTTCTCCGCTTTCTCCAGTGGTATTCAACTTCGCGGTCAACTGAGTTAGGCAATCGTGCCTTTAAGAGCCAACATTCAACTTAGCTTTGTCATCTGGTTGTCAAAGCTGGAAGTTGCTGACGATATCGTTATCCTTGCAGATGATCTCATGGCACTTCAGCCGCTACTAAATCGAGTGGACCAAGCAGCCACGAAATTAACATCAGCGAGACGAATTACGTATCACCCAGTCCACCCCATCGCCCGCCTTACAAGGACAACCTATCGAGTCCGTCCCCGAGTTCAAGTAACTTGGATCCACTATTCTCCCCATTGGTCAGCGCACAGCCGTAATCTAGAATCGTATTGATAGTGCCAGAACAGCCTTCTTACAGCTGAGAAACATGTGGTGGCAAAGGACGCGAATTAGTTTGAGAACAAAATCCGAGTATTCTCAGTAACTATTTGTGTCATTTTATTCCATGGTTGCGAAACATGGCCGCTGCGATCAGAAGACACCCGAAAGCCGAAAGTCTTCGACCATTGGTGTACAAAGCTTATTTGAAAACGCAGCGGCATAAGAGTATCAACAGTGACGAAAACCGTAAGCGCTGTTAAGTTCTTCCAAATCTCACAACGTTCATCAAACGCCGCAGACTTCATTGGTTCGGTCAGGTCCTCCGCAGACCAGATACTAACTCCACTAAGGCCGTGGTTTCGCCCTCGCCTTGCCAGGGTTGGTGTCGTATCGGTGATGACAACTGAAAATCTGGCTCACTGAGGTTAACTCGGATGTCGGTCTTGTGGGATTCCAGGTTGTGCATGGTGCTCGTCACTGGGGAAATAATTGGACCAATACCTGCAAGGAGCTTGACGCTGACCACCGCACTTGGGCGGCTGCAATCCAAGACACTCATTAAGCCGGATCATCCTGTCGCAGGAGCTAGCCGCCGTAAAGTAAACAAAGCAACTTGCGGTAGCCAAGGCAGAGGAAAATATACTTATGTTTAGTTAGAACAAGTGGTTATGTTGTTTGTTCATTTAGCTCGACCTACCGAATGGAGGTGGGAAGTTATGGAATAACTGGGGAAGCGTCATGCCGGGTGACCGCAGCATATGACTAATACCTAATTCTGTTGGCAACAGACTGCTCTTCCTTCTGAAATTAATAAGCATTAAGAACCAACCTAACGAAGAAAGCATTCAACTCGCACAACATTAGGGGAGATAGTAGAATGGAAGCGTACGGTCACAACAACTTCTGGGTAAAGTCAATTAGTATGGGAGCTGATTCTGTTTGTTCTATACGATCAGTAAACAGACTAGAAATATGAATCACAGAGCAAGCGACAAAGTAGATAAACAGTGCAGTAGAAATAGCGATTTGGTCAACATTCGTCTTTCGCATTAACCGGCCAAACACCGCGAGGCTTGGTGAGTGGATATACGGCAAGTTCTCCCTACTGCGACGTGTAGCTCGGTGTTTGGACTGTACTCCCCGAAGCACCAGTTGAAGGTACGCTGGTGAGAGCGACCATGTGGCATCCCGGCCCGAATGATATTATTGGCAATTGCCTGTAAGCAAGCTTTGAAATACGGATTCGGTGTGCTACTGGCACGGTTTAATAGATTAAAATTAATGCATTCAATCAAATAGCAACACAGTTGTTGTCTTTCCGAAATCGGAGAATGATGATAACGAACTGGCAGGCTTTCATTTATGTTTATACACCATAACATGTGGAGCGATCACTGTACAGAGTAGTACTCTTGTGTTTTATAAAAGGTATCTTCAAATAGGTTATGAACTATAAATTAAGGTGGCGGCTCAAAAGCACAGTTAGAGAGCATTTACTTTGATGCCTTGGGTTGTACGACGAGCTTCGACAACCATGCCGGCCAGTAAGCAGTTGTACGCATCTTCGCCGATGAGATCCTCAAACAAATCCACGTAAAGTGCCGTCAAAAGCGTTTTTAGAGGATTCAGAAAAGCCAGAGGGCTGAAAGGTGAACAAATGCCATACCTGTGTGTTAGCTTGTAGCAGAAGAAGCAGCGGTTACAGTGCATGAGAGAATGGTGCAAACGCATTAGGAATAACGTATGGATTGGTACTGATTCGTGGAGTAAGAAGGAAATCTCCATCTGGTGAGGACTTCCAACACGGCCATTACTGTTGTGATTGGAATATTGTTTTTAAGCTACTCATTGCGGATATTTTTATCCCACCTGTTTCCTTGTTCTTCACCCAATTTGAATATTTTCGAAAAACCATTGGATCTTGCCCTTTGCCCCCATCACTTCATTGCATAAACTGTACTACGTTGGAATATATTAATTATCCCTCCAAAACAGATGAACATGTCACATACATCTGAGTAGGCGGTACAGTAGTGAGTATTCTCCTTTTCACTTTTTTCACGAAGTACAACAACTATAACTGTCCCATGTTGCCTCGTCGTTCGCATACGATTCCCACTTACACTACCACTGTTCAGCAACGTAGCTGCAAGATAAGCAGACAACTCACCTATTTTCGATAAGTGTAGTTGTAGTTAATCTACCATGCGGGAATTGTCAAGCAACTGCTTTTTAACCCAGCATAAATCACTGTCCATTGTTCAAGTTATTTTTTATTCGTTTAAGTGAATCAATTTAAGGTCAGCAAGATTGACGTACACTTGTAGGGTGGAACGGAAACTGTCGTGGCGCGCTGCTTGACATTGAACTGGTGCTCACGCTGCGCTCTCATTTGCCTTGCAGGAACCTGGTCGGGCGCTTTAACGGAAGAAGTGCAAGCAGAAGAAGATTGACTGTAACGTTTATCTTCCTTTTTTATAACATGATTTCCTCTATTATAGTTTGCTACGTGTTGCTCAATAAATCTCCAGTTCCAATCTCCAGAGTTCTCCCAAGCTTGTATATTACAATATTGGCGAGCCTACCGAGGCACTGTTATCAGGAATCCTGTATCACTGGTCTAATGAAGATAATGCCGAAGAAAACCAACAAAGCCGATGACGAAAGCAATTTTGACGCCAATGACCCGACGTCAAAGCTAGCCGCTTCGTTCGATGTGTTATCACGGACTTTGCAGAAAATGTCGACTTCACCAACTTCTTCAACCAGCATGCCATCTATCCCGCCGCCAGAACGCTTTACCCTGGGGATGCTGTACCCCAGGTAGGGGAAAAGCAAGTCCAGTTTTATATGCGTCATTTCCCATCCAACCAACAGACAGCTGTGCTCGCCGGCCTGCTCTCGGGAGAGGCCTTTGATATTGTTCCAGACAGTAAACTTTTGGAGAAAGAAGTAACAACCGAGACTTTTTCCGCCATGCGCCGATTATTAGCCCGTCCCGGTCTACCTGCACCCCTACGCAGGGCATTCCACGCACGCTGCCAATATCCGGGGGAAACCATCCGCACATACGTTCGCGAGCTGCAGAGGATGGTCGATATCGCATACGAGAACGAAACGCCAGACGAACGTGAAAAACTGGTCTTGGGGCGACTCCTAGAGGGCATTCAAACGCCGTCTATTAAAAGGGAGTTTCTGCGGTACCCTCCCCGCCATTTGGACGAAGCATTGCAAAAAGGTGACCACTTGGAAGAAATAGACGCAGCGATGGGTACACCTACATCTGGCTGTTTCGCTTTGAGAGGTAACACACGACCCAGACGCGTCCTACCCGAAAGAATGACGGGAAACCCTGGCCGTCTTCAGAGATATCCCGCTGCACGACGACCGGCACAATCAGGTTTTCGGTGGCCCCGCAGACAAACGTCATACCGCGGATCGTCTCGCTACAAGAACATGCCAGGTGAGCATGCCATGACATCATTTGTGATACCATCTCCTGCAACTTGATTGTAACGTCCTTAACCCTAGAATTATCGATAGCTGGGATTTGCTTACTGGGGCTAGTGGATACTGGCGCAGCTAGAAGCATAATCAGGGCCAGCGTGAGTAAGAGCTTCTCACACTGTGTTAGAAAACCTTGTAACGCTCGCCTTACTGCGGCCAACGGGCTACCACTAGTTGTTTGGAATTCCATCCTTGCCCCGTTGTTGTAGCCTGCACAAGGTTTAATCATGAATTTATCGTTGCTGACCGGATACCGTTCGATGTTATTATCGGAATAGATTTGCTGAGGAGGTTAAAATGCCGACTTGACCTGGAGAAGTCCTAACTAATCACTGATTCGTGCACCATACTACTGAGAGCATGCAGCAACAGCAATTTTGAGGATTTTACGTTATATGAGTGCAGTATCAAAGAGCAACAATGTGTAGACGATTTTATTCGGTCGATTGGGCTTTCAGCTGACACATTAACACAGGCACGATTAGCGCAGGTTCTACAAAATTATTCAGACCCCTTTGCATGGAAATCCGGCGATTTGGGACGGACCGGCCTGGTGAAACATGTTGCTGACATTGGTGTGGCTAGACCGATTAAAGTGCCTCCGAGACGCATTCCACTCCACTGGTAGGGTGAGATACAGAAGCTGATAGATGATATGTTAGAGAAGAACGTTATCGAACCCTCCTACTCCCCGTGGGCATCTCCTGTTGTCCTGGTAAAGAAAAAGGACGGTGGCTTCCGATTATGCGTCGATTACCGCAGATTGAACTAGGCTACTCGAAAGGACGCCTACCCACACCCAAGGATCGACGATCTGTTCAACGCACTTGGTGGATCTGTGTATTTTAGCACACTTGACCTGGCTTCCGGTTACTGGCAGGTGGACGTAGAAGAGAGCGATCGAGCGAAAACCGCTTTTGTCGTGCCCTCCGGGTTGTATGAGTTTCAGACCATGCCAATTGGCTTATCTAACGCTCCAGCTACCTTTCAACGCCTTATGCAAAAAGCATTAGCCGACCTGATACCGCTAAATGCCTTGTGTATTTGGATGATGTCATCGTACATGGAAAGACGAAAGATGAATACTTGGACAATTTGGCGAGTGTGTTGGAATGCTTGGTGAGAGTGGGATTAAAGCTTAAGCCCTCAAAGTGTCATCTCTTGAAAAGGGAAGTGGCGTACTTAGGGCACATAATATTTGGAGATGGTATTCGAATGGACCCGGTAAAGGTCGAACAGGTCAGATCGTGGACCACGCCAACCACTACGGAGCAGTTACGTAGTTTTCTCGGGTTAGCATCATATTACCGGCGATTTATTCGGAACTTCTCATCCATTGCAGCCCCATTACACATTGCTAGAGAAGGGTCGAATGGTCGAAGCAGTGCGCAGAAGCTTTCAATCACCTACGCGAATCTCTCTGTACGGCTCCTTTGCTAATATTTCCCGATTTGTCCTCCTCTGCTGGCCAGTTTATCTTGGACACTGATGCGAGTGATAAGGCGATTGGAGCGGTGTTATCACAACTGGGATCGGATGGTGTCGATCGAGTCGTGGCATATTGTAGTCGCAGTCTTAGCTCGAGGGAGCGAAATTACTGCACGACTAGGAAAGAGATGTTGACATTGGTATATTTCATCAAACAAAACCGACACTACCTATTACGTCGAAAGTTTGTGGTCCGCAAAGACCACCAATCACTTCGGTGGCTGCAGAATTTTAAAGACCCCGAAGGCCAAATCGCGCGTTGGCAACAGCAATTGCAGGAATATGACTTTGAGTGCAAACATCGCCCCGGTAAGCAACACGCTAATGCTGACGCATTGTCACGAATCCCCCCTCGCAACCATGGAGAGTGCCCTTCGTGTAATACGCAACACGTAGCAATCGTCGATCTTCAAGGAGCAGAATATGGTCGGTGGCAAACGGCACAGGCGAACGATCCCGATACCGCATTGATCATTGTTCATTGAGATGCGTCTTAATGGCGGCGACAAACCAACGAGTAAAGAGATGGAAGGGAAAAGTTACGAAGCTCGTTGCCTTTGGGCCACATGGGATCACCTGACCACCGAAGAAGGGGTTTTGGTTTTCAATTTCGGACCGACGTACATGAGAAGAAGCATCGTCCCGCACTCTATAGTTTGGGAAGTACTGAGCGATTTACACAAGGAAATGGGACATGCAGGGAGTAATAAAATGGACGAAGCGGTTCGACGACGTTTCTGGTGGCCCTATCAACGGAGAGATGTGATCGGCTACTGTCAAGCGTGCGAAGAATGTGGTGCCTTTAAAAACCCTCGTATCGTTCACCGTGCACCCTTGCAGCCCATGGTGGCCGGCTATCCTAACGAGATAGTAGGAGTGGATCTCACAGGCCCTTTACCTGAGACGACACGAGGTAATCGCTTTATTTTGGTCATGATCGATTACTTTACCAAATGGTGCGAGGCTATACCGATAGGACAGGCGGATACGTCTACTGTGGTAACAGCTTTGGTAAATCATTGGGTCTACCACTGGGGTGCACCAGGGCAGCTACACTCGGATAAAGGATCGTGCTTGAAGAGCTCACTGGTAATTGAAGTTTGTCGGTTACTTGGGATAGACAAAACTCGAACCACAGCGTATCATCCTCAAGGAAATAGGCAAGTGGAAAGAACAAATCGTTCTCTTAAATGGTTGCTGAAGGCCTTCGCGGACAGGAACATCAATGAGTAGGACAATGTGTTGCCCAGATGCCTACTTGCATACAGGAGCACAGTACATTCACCGACGGGACAGACACCATTCCTTATGTGGACGGGAAGCGAGGCACGATTACCTTCGGATCTACGTCTACCAATGACGCAACGGTTACAGCCATCGGTTATGGAATATGTTAGCAAGTTGTTAGACTCCCTTTGGCAGTTTCATCAGTCAGCACGAGTGCATTTAGGGAACGCACACCGGCGTCAGAAGGAATATTACGACAATAAGGTATTTGGCGTACCCCTGAAATTTGGTGATTTAGTTTGGTTACACCAACCTCAAGCATCAGGAGTGCCGGCAAAGTTTCAGAGAGTGGAAGGGTTCATATATGGTAGAACGAGTGCTTTCTGAGGCCACCTGCATGATAAAGGATCGTAACAACCC